CCAAGTGAAGATATGTATATGAAGTGCAAAGGATTTTAGACACCAGAATATTTCATGAAAGACGATAATACTTAGTTGATTGAAAGGCTATCAATACTATGACGCTACATGGGAACCAGAAGGACATATTCAAGGAAGTAGAAAATTAGTCAATAAGTCTTAGTAACGATATGGAGGGACTCCTAAGGATACATGTTGGCACGGTCCCCCATTGACCATGTCCAAATACCCTGGCCTGTATGCTAGGGCCTCTCCAATAGAAGCATGGTCATCCTCGGCTGGACAACGTGTCTTGGGTTCTCTCGGGCCTGTGGATTACTGGCTGCTCTGCACGGTCTCATCCGAGGCATGTGGCTACTGTGCTCGAGGAGGTAGGGAGGCTCCAGAACAATTGATCACTATAGCATGGCGTGGCCGTGCACTCTCTTATATCCTGCGGCACACAATTCCATAGTCCCATGATTAGTTCGCCTAACAATTTGCACAATATTACCACAATACATCAACACAAACACAAAAGACTACAAGATGTACAACATCTACACAAGCTTATCAAAATTCATCATTCTAACAAAGACCAGGACTATGACCAAGAAAATGAAGATTCCACAGAGCAAACACATAACATAAATTAGTCATATATATAATCCCATCGACAGGTACGTTGATTTTTGGAAGAGGGGATAGTTGTAAGATTAAATCAAGATATGAAAGTTAAATGAGCAAAAATAGATTTTATTTAGAGTTGAATGGAAAAAGAATCAGGTTACATGGATAATTATTGACAAATGTATGGTCAAATTTGTCTAATAGGGCGCATTAGGCTTGATTTCAGAGACAAGAATGAAATTGGGTTTGATTACAGAACATGAATAAACTTATTGTACCGCCTCACTAATGTAATCTGTGATAAAAGATGCACTATATCTCATGGAAGGGTCTAGAACATTCTCAAGAGAATGAAAAGACCCACCGTAACTTTGAGAGGGAAGGCATAACAAAGTTATGCCATTTACTGGAACATTTTGGACAATAGATCTAATGTAGTATATGAAATACTATATAGAATAGTCGCCAAATCTTTAGAATATTTTTAGATGGTTTTATGATAGATTATTAAGCATGTTACTAGTAGTATCAACATATTTCCGGAGCAATCAATCCAAGACTATAAATATGCAGAGTCTTTTGACTAGCCACTCGTTCGACTCCTACAACAAGCCTTGTGAAGCCAAGCTATTGTAAAGAAGCTCGCTTTTTCTTGTAAGATACGTGCCAATAATCTTTGCCTTGTTTCAAAGGGGTAAGGAAGAGATCCATATGATTGTAAAGGACCATCTTTCTTGATCGGTTCTAATCTGCCCTTCTAGCCATAAGGCACTCACAGATGCTAATTATAAGGGGATTAACGTCGTTAATGAGTTTCTGACTAGAGAGACGTCGGTGAGAGATGAGAACACATCAACAACCTAGGCAGGGCACCACACTGGGGTGGTCGCCTCTGGCCGTCGCTCTAACTTGAACGCCAATGGGCGGCGAGTGATAAGCTAGCCAAATATTGGTGTTTGGGCATCCTTAAAGGGAGCTGTGGCCAGCCGTTCACATGAGAGACTTGAAGCGCTTTTTGGAGAGCGGTAGGTGCCACCTATTTTATGGTGCTGTATTTTGTCCATCTCCATCCTGTTTTGCTCTCGTTCCTGCCCATCCCTGGAGTGTGATTTCGGTTTGAAGGAGAAATTTGCGGGGTCAGATTGCTGGGGAAAGCACCATGGTTTGATTCGCGAAGCAAGGGTTAATTTTCTAGCACTACAGTCACCGGGCTGTGTTTGGGTGATGCAGACCTACTGGAAAAATTGTAACGCACTTGGTCAGTGTGGACTCGGGCGAGAAAAGTATCCCGTCAGGAAGAAAGGGTACAAACTTTCTTGCTGCAATTTGGTGTGTTGTCCAATGCGCCATGCGATGCCATGGCGTTGCAAATGTTTGCGTCAAGTTGACCAACGCCAGCTGCTTTGTTTATTGTGTGCTACAAGGCGCGTGCACTGCTGGTTATATCAAGAACATGCATCCCAGCATGCTTTCGTAAGGTTTGCAGTGGCGAACAAGAAATCTACACCCCAAATCCTGCTTTGGTCAGGAATCATTTCTGGAAGGTTATCACAGTGAGGGCAAGAGGCTGAAGAGCAGCTTTGGGGAAGGTAAGGGAGAGGGACGTTGCGCTTTCACACATAGCAGGCACAAGCGAATATATGGACAATGAAGTGAAAGAAGAGGGAGGCACCTAGACCGACGTAGCAAGCTAAGTGAAGTGAAAACTGCGGTTGGAACTCATTGGCTACCCTGATGACAGCTTGCTGGGTAAGGCGAGGGCAGATGAGTCAATCACAAGTGCTCACTTGAAGAGACCGCTCTTTTGCTCAGCGGGGTTGGGACGATTTCTGTGGTCCCTTGTGAGGGAGCAAATCTTGCTTTTTCTGATTGTGGTCATTTGTCATATTTGTTGCATCACGCGCCCATTCGATTGGAAAGAAGGCCAGATTGAGATTGAAAGAATGTAAAGATATTTAGACGCTGGCAAGCGGGACAGTTTGGAGGCAGTTCAGGATCAGCAACCTCATCTCAGGGACATTTTGGAGAACATTCACGCTCGATTGAACATCCTGCAATGCAAGTAGCTATCCTGTTAATATGTTTCCACCAAGGACGACGTTGGGTGGGCTGCGCCGATGATTCAAATCGGTAGCAGTTGAATTCAAACGGTTTTCTGGCCCCTCTAATAACTTGGGTGAGTCAAAGTACGTAGTTTCCAAGGTGCCGTCAGTTTGGCGGGCCTTGACGGGGCTGAGCGGGGGCGGCTATTTAGGCTCCCCCCTCGGGCCCCCTCCTATCTTGTTTCGCACCTGGCCCTCCCGCCCTAGAAAGTGGAGTTCGGTTGAGTTGAGGAAGATAGAGGGAAGGAGCGGCAGGAAGTGCTGGATTAGGGCACTGACTCAGGGCTGAGTCACGGGCGGAAAGTGGCGTGAAGTACGTGCAAAGCGAAAGGGCAAACTGTTAAGTACGGGGACCTCGGGTATTTGGAGTTCTTAGTGACGGACACCTTTTTGGTAAATGTCTTATCGTGTGGGGAACATGAACGGGTGGGCTCAGGAGACCGGTCAGGTGGAAATGGAGGGGTCAGGGATGCATCCAGGATGCATCCTGAAGCACAGCATTAGGGGAGAATGCAGACCAGAACCTGCCGCACGCGACTTGCGAGTGTCATTTATGTGGGGTTTTTCTCCATGGAAATGATCGTTGCCACTATTTTTTGACTCCCTGGCATAACACGCTGTTGACCCACGAGTCATTACGGCGATCAACAACATGGTGATTGAACAGCGGATGGGAAATGCACGTGACATACACCGAAACCGAAATGCAGCCGTTGCTTGACTTGCGTTGCGCCAAGCGAAATGCAAGGAACGTCCTGACCTGACTGGCTTGAGCTAATGTTCATCTCAAATCATGTCCTGGCAGTCATCGCAGGCAACTTACCGCGAACTTTCTCTTCCAAACACATGTACACAATGCGTGCATGTGCGTACAATATGTACTGGGCATGTGATCCACATGGGGTCCAACACCTCAAATTGTGGCTTGCTACTGTGTGGTCCACGCAGTGACGACAGGGAATCGACATATTGCTCCCATTGCCAGAGTTGGAATAATTTTGACGGTATCCACCACGACGCCTTCCTGCATTTGGAGCAAAGCACAGGATCTGTCCAGTGTCAAAACACTCAAAAATTCGTCACTAATGCACAGGTTGAGCCGTCAGTACAATCGGCACGCCAGTCAATTCATCACCACAGTTCCGTCCATCTGTTCCTCAACTTACAATGAATACACTTCCACCTTCCACCACTGCCGCATCTCCTGCGGCATGCGATCCCCTGACAATCCCGAATACGGTCCATTTCGCTTTCTCCAGCTGCCCAAACGGCAATCATTCCCATGCAAAAAAAAAACATCTACACAGCCAATACACCGCGCTTGGGTGTTTCAGACATTTGTTCTGTCCCTCCCCACCACCAGCTTCAAACCTGCAGCAGCTGAAACGGGAACCGTTCAGGCCATCGCCTATGGGGACCATTCGTCACCACAGCCCGCAGCATACGAGCAGCCCCAAATTGGCCAAAGTGCAAAACCACATTTCGGCACCCCAAAACACCTCCACCCCAAAAGCCTTCCAAGGCAAGCACCTACCATCTAATACCTCGCAAACACAAAAATCAACGGTGATAGACAAACAGTGGGTGCCTGAGCACAGAAAATGAGACTGGCCCAGCACGTTGGTGGGCCCATTGACTGTCCTCCACCACACCAAGGAGTCAATACACGGAAACACAGAGTTTCTAAAACGTTTTGAAATCGGCATCCTTCTCCCCACACACACTCAGTACTTTAAGACCCACGTCCATAGCACACACATTCATCCAAAATAATTCCATCACACAGGTTTCGTTTCAGTTTCCTGGGTCCCACACCTAGGCATTTGTCACTCTGCCAACCCTCTACCATGTCGCCAGGAAGGGATGGCAAGGCAAAGGCAAAATTCACAGTGGCACAACCGCAAGAATGGAAACAAACATCCCAAAAGCGCCCCTCCCCCCCTCCCCTTCTCCCCCCTCCTTCTGTCTAGGTTGCATGCTCACAGTCCCCATTGTCGAACACACAACCTTGGCCCTTCATCCAAAAGAATAGGGCGCAGCTGAAAGTCGACTGCACTTCGCCTCCATGGGCAGCTGAAGTCCTGAGTGGCCAATCACACAAACATGCCGCACCCTCACCTGGTCCTGGACCTTTGAACACAAGCTGAATAGGAAGCAAGCCAGCCAAACTGCATGTTTTTTTTCCCACAGCCATCCTACACTCCACAGGAAGGCAGCTATTCCACAAAACTTCCTCCTGCTCTTCAATCAGATGCTTCTTTTCTGCCAGCACCTAAGGCAAATGAGCCCTCAAAAAGCTCTGGGGGCAGTGGCAGAGCGAGACAGGTGGTCACTATATGGCTCAGCCCTGGCCTGCTCCTGGGCACGTGGTCCCTTCATCAATACTGTCGGAATGCCATCCTGCTGCTTTTCCATGCCACCAGTGCCCTGGGGAAGAGATTTCATACCGAGCATCTTGCGCACGATGCTTGACATGCTCCGCAGGACACCTAACGACTTGTCTTTTGCTGGTGGTATCTCACAGTCCCCCAGAGTATTATCACTGCAGGTCAACGAGCTTGGGTCACTGATCAGGCTGCTGCCCGATAGCCTCTGGTCATCATCCTGGCTGTTGAGTTCCAGGGCTGCAGCACTATTGACCTTGCTTTGGGCAAGCAGCTGCAATGGCCGCTGCCCATCAGGGACTGCACTCCGTTTCACTGGCCCCGGCCATCGGCTTGGCGACAACTGCTGGAAGCGCTCAATCAGAGTTTGTGCCTGTCTGGATTGCTGGCCCTGTGCTGGTCTCCCCTCAAAGTTTGGCCCCAAATCCTTGTCTGCAGGTGATGCCACATGCTGTGCAACCTTTAGCTGCAAGCTTGTGCTTGACTCATTGCTCTGGGCCACAAGAGCAGCAGCAGCAGCAGCAATGCCACTCACAGCAGACAAGGAGCCAACCCCTTGGCACGAACTGCCACTGTCCATTCTGTCAGCCATGATATCCACGTCATTCACTTGCTCCTTGCCTGCATTCGCAAATAACTCTGTTTCCGTTGTTTCGCCCTGTGTCACTGCCATTCCCTCCATAACCCACCCATCACTGTCCCAAATATCTGTATCTCGTTTGTCATCCATGCCTTGCTTCCCATCCCTGCTCTCACTGACAACTCTTTCAGGATCGAATTTGCACTCCAGGGCTCTGTCTGTACCTTGCCGTTCCCTGGTCACACATTCGGGTACTTGTTCATAATGCTCATGCCCCTTCCCATTGACTGATGTGGTTGGTGGCGCAGAGGGATGCCCACTCCCCTCTTCAGATGCTCCAACCACGGGGAGATTCGGCACTGGAGACTCGCTGAACCGGGCAGCTGCCCCAAGGACCTGCGCCTTCAACTCGGCGCCACAAGTCAAGGCCCCCAGAGAAGGCACGAATCCTCCCAGGTCCACCTCCACATTAGCATCCAAGCAGCGCTCCAACAGAAACGAAATCATATCCCAGGCATCAAACTCTGCCATGTGGCACACAAGGTTCCTGAGGACAAGCTCCCATGCTGATCCCTGAAGCGACCCCAAATCACCTTCTCGGTGCCTCTCCAGTGCCCCCAGCATCGCTTCGATCTCAAGGAGGAATGCAGAAAAACCTTCCCACACCTGCTCCTCCACACCCCCATCAGAGAACACCACCCTTGACTGCTGCAGCGCCGATGCTTGATTCGACCCAGACCCAGGGCGGCACGCTGCACCTGCCAACTGGGAGAACAACGCAATGCCACCATCTGCGGCCGCCTTTGGAAGCACGCCCAGTGGGGCAACTTTGCACGCAGATATCTTGTCTTCTCCCACGCAGGTAAGCACAAAGTTGACGATGCCCGGCTGCAATTCTGGTATCCTCACCCTGCTCACAGTCAGCAAAAGTACACACTTCAGCCCTTTGTTCACAACAGTTACAATCTACAGCTGCAACAGGGCAGAAGAACAACCATTCCAGCCAGAATAAATTGCTCCCACCAATTCAGATTGATGGTGCCCCACTACCCCTCGCAACACTCTTGTCACCCTCTCCACTGAGCCCGTAGCAGGCGCCTGGCTTCGCATTCTCTCCTTCCTGCCTCCTGTAACTATTAATCGAAGTAGGGCTCAACCAGCCGCGGTCATGGGAACCAGGGCATTTGCCGACGACTCCTGTTACCGACGCGTACAGCAGCAAGACCTCGTGCCCAATCCGCGCCTCGACACACTTCTTCGCCTTCCGCCGCCGCTCGGCCCTCACCTCAGCACGGACCCGCTCCCTTTGGCCGACTCCTCCAGAAACACGTTCCCGCCGAGCGACCCCACGACCCTCAGGCCCCGCTCTGCGCAGCGTCCCACCCCTCCCAGCCGAATCTCCACGTTCACCTCCTCCCCGCTGGGCACACAGGGCGGGTACACGAGCCGGACATCCGGCGTCTCTACCACCTCCAGGGGCACCGTCCCTGTGCCCTGCTCCCGTCCGTCAATATACACCCGAGGGCCCACCGCGTAATCATGAAGGAACACCGTCCCGGTGCACAGCTCGGGCGGCAGGCAGTCGAACAGCGCCGAAGCGATCGTGGCGCCAACATCAGAATGGGTCCCGTTTTCTGGGCCGTCGGCGGAGAACACGGTCACCACGAATTCGACGCATCCCGGGAAGCATTCCACGTTCGCGTGCAGGACGTCCCGTGGCAGGGTGTCGCCGGACGACTGGGATTGGTGCGCCAGGTTGGCGGTGAACTCGCCGTGGAACCGCTGGCAGGCGCCAGCCTGCGGGGTATGGGCTGGGACCTGCACGCCGCGGCAGAGGCACACGTGCGGTGTGAGGAAGACGATTGAATCGCAAGACGGGCATCCCAATCGCAAGCCTAGCTCTCGGGACTGACTGTGTCGCAGAAAGGAGGACCCGCGCCTGGTCCAAAGCGTATTGCTGTTGGGATATCTTCTTGTGTTGTAGATGGCGTGGATGTCTCCAATGGCAACAGAGCAACCCAACTGCGACCAGCTCGCCGGAGAGGCCCCACACGCGACCGTCGAGGCCTCAGTCTCCGCAGCATACTTGGGACCCCAGTTCGCTCAACCCAACAAATTGACCGCCCCCCATCCAGCACCGGCTTGACGCTGATGTTCCACCCACAGAACGCCTCCCATTGTTCGCCCCGCTCATCCAGGAAGCAATCCACAAGGCCCCACACACCGACAAAGAGTCCCAATGAAAACGCTGTGGAGGGGGTCATGTCACGAGGCGCGAAAGCGCCGCCCGCGCCC